GAAATAGTTTTGGTCCGTTCTTTTCTTTTTCTTTTAGTGGTTTTTTTTTACGTCGCTACTGTAGCTGCCTCGGTGTGGGCGCAAATGAGTAGCTCGTGCAACCTAAGATTATATATATATATATGTCTTTGTATTTTCCTCACTCTGTGCATGCGTGCGTGTGTGCCGTGGGGCGGATGCACTGCATGCTTCAGCGGAGTTTACTAAACTGGTCGGCGCCTCTCTTATTTCTGGCCTTGTGTGCTTGCTTGGATTCCTTCTGTGTCTGCCTCTCCTCCCGCCGCCACTATGTTCCGTGGGGGTGAGAGGCATCCGCACGGAAGCCGCGCGTCCACCCGCAGAAGAGGAGGGGAAGTAAGCCGCCGTGGGCACTCAAACCATGAAGGAAAAAAATAAAAATAAAAAGGAATGAGCATCGCAAGAAAAACTGCAAGGAGGAAATAGAAGAAAAAAAAATGGGGGGGGGGACGTGCTGTGTGGGTAGCACACGATCTTGAGTTGATTCTTTTTTTGTCAAAAAAAAAAAGAGGGAGCTTGATGAAATGACGGGGTCCAGCCTCTGCTTGGGGAGATAGATACGCTGAGTCCTCGTTGCATTTCCTGGCTGTCCTTCATCGTTTGTTCTCTCTCTCTCTTCGCCTCGCCCCTCTCCACGCTGCTTTTACAGGACTGTACTTCGACGCCAACGCTGTGGCAATTTCCCTCTCCAAACGGTTGTTGTTGTTGTTGTTATTGGCTACCTGCACCCGTGATCGCTGCGCAGGCGCATGAAGACGCTTTTCAACGGGGCTCGCTGCTGCTGCCACCGCACGACCCTCCTCCGCCTGCTCTCTTTCTCTCTCTCTCTCTCTCGCTGCCGGTTGGAAGACAATCGTAGCATTATTGCGCCTCTCAACCAACCTCGCCAAAGAAAGAAATAACAAACACCCCGCAGTAAAGAAGTGACGGTTATCATCAAGAGCGAAAAAGCAAACTAAAAAAAGAAGGGAGGAAGCGGGGTCGCGACATGTTCAAGAATCAGTACGATACCAATACGACGACGTGGAGCCCTACCGGCCGGTTGTTTCAGGTAGAGTACGCGAATGAGGCGGTGAACAACGGCTCTGCTGCAGTTGGTGCAAAGAACAAAGACTTTGTTGTGTTGACCGCCCTGAAGCGCACCCCAGCGGCGCAGTTTTCATCCTACCAGGAGAAGCTGTTCAAGCTGGATGATCACGTGGGTATGGCAATAGCTGGTCTTGTTGCAGACGGTCGCGTGTTAGCCCGTTTTCTGCGCACAGAATGCATGAACTATCGCTATATGCACGATAGCGATAAACCATTGCCACTCATTGCCGATTTGATTGGGGAGAAGCATCAGCGGCACATCCACTTTGGGGGAAAGCGGCCCTTTGGCGTGGGTCTTTTAATTGCTGGCTATGACCGGACAGGGCCACATTTGTATCAGACCGCCCCGTCGGGAGATGTGTTTGACTTTAAGGCAACAGCTATGGGTCTGCGCTCGCAGGCTGCCCGTACATATCTGGAAAAACACTTCGAATCCTTCCCGGAATGTGATCGTGATGAGCTTATTATGCACGCATTGAAGGCACTTGCGGCGGCATCCTCGGGCGGCGTGGAGCTAAACATAAAGAATACGACCATTGCCATAGTAGGAAAGGGCACCCCTTTCATGATTCTCACTGAGGAAGCGGCGCGGAAGTACTTGGATGGGTTCAAGATGCGCCCAGAGGACATTCCCCCTGTGACAGGGGCTGAAGAGGAGGAAACTCTGCAGGAGCGTTCCTTGGACGTGGAGGAGTGAGTGGTGGACCCCAATGAATGTCGATGACGGTCGCCATCGTGACTATTCCTGCCTTCCCTCGTTTCTCATTCTGTTCCCCAGCCGACCACGCGTACTCCCACTCACCCAAGCAACGCCTCCTCCAAGGAGCCCCCAAGAAGAAGGTAAGAAGAAGAGGCACGCAGTATAGCAAACAAGTTATATATATATATATGTGTGTGTATGTATAACGAATCAGAGAGAGGGGGGGGGGGTTGTTTTTTTTCCGTATTGTGGTAGAGGCTTTAGGAAATATTGAACGACTTAGAGGGGAGAAAATGACTCTGCGCCTGAAGCGGGGCAAAGTGGGAACTAAAGGGGCCTGGCAATTTTGTTTCTATCGTTTGTATTTTCTGCCGCATTTCTTTCAGCTGCTGTGCAACTTGGCAGAAAACTTTGGTCACTCTCTCTGTATTTGTCCTAGTTCTGTGTGATTGCGCGTGTGCTCAGAACCTTAGCAAGTAAAAAAGAACAAAAACAAAAGGTGAGGTGGAGGTAAGTGAAATTGACGACACAACTCGTAGCGCAGATGCCACGTAAGGAAGCAAAGAAGCGGAAGCGCGCCAGTAGCCCGGATAAGGCGAGCACCTCTAGCGCTGATGAACAGGGGAAGCATGGTGGTGCCTTCTCTAAGTTCGAGGAGTTTGACGTGTCGGAGTTGCTTCAAAAGCCGCAGGAAGTGCCTGAGGTTCAGCCGGCTGCGGAGGAGCAAACTTGTAGCCCCACTAACGACACCGTGGCCGATGCTCCGCCCATAACTGCGGTGGAAACTGTAGCTGCGGTTACCGAAGAGCCACCGGCGCCCATCCCGCAACTTATTCCACCGGAGCCCCCGAAGGAACTTCCGCCAGATGAGGAGTTCGTTCCGCTACCCACGCTCCAGGTCGGGCCCATGATGAACCGCTCCTCAGAGGCGCAGAGTGGTCTGCTGAAGGAGCCCGCACCACCGGCGTCGATTCAGCGTGTCACACAACCAGGGATGCTGGTCCCGGCGATGCCCACTGCCTTAATGGAGCTTCTTAGTGGGTAACTGCGTAGTTTTGTTTTTGCTTTTCGTTTTTTTTGTTTTAACCTTTAAAAAGAGGTTGCTCCTCCCTCTTGCCGGATTCATATTTGGGCATGGAGAGCTTAAGTTGTGCGGAGCCCTTCTTTCCTCCTTCCGTGTTTTGGTGGTTGTTGGTGTTGCTTGTTGTATTGCGTTTTTCAGTTCCTTCCGTGTCGGTAACGAGGCTGGTGGACAAGTGGAGGACGCACCCATAAGCACATCAACAAATAAACCCAGATACCAAGTAACCCGGCAAGACGCCGACACAGTTCATAAGAAACGGAAAGTAGATATACTTTCTTCTGTTGCACTCAAATTTGTCCCAATGACCAGCAAGCGCATGGCAAAGAAGGCCGTACCGTCGACAAGGACGGCGGCAGCGGCGACTGCACCAACGGATATGGAGGCTGTGGAGGAGTCGGGCGTCGCTGACGCCGCAGCGCCCGTTTTGCTGCAGGAAGACAGCGGCTCGCTTGGGGAATCACTTTACAAGGCGCTCATGGAGGGAGCATCCATCGATCATGTGGTGAACGACCTCCTCCGTATCTACTCTGAAGGCGGCAAGGACTCCGTGTGTTGTGCTATTCTGAACCTTGTGGGGAAAGCCTCGGGTGCAGTTCAGGCAGAATTGGACGGGACTGCCCTCAAGGAGGACGTGGACGTTACGACGCTCCTGGAGGAGATGTACGCCCGCGTCCAGCAAGAGGCCGCCGCGTATCCATTAGTTCGAAAGGAGCCCAAGTATCGCGTTTTCCGTACTGCCTATCGTCGCTTCTTTGCTCGTCTCGTAGAACTTGGCTATAATGCGAATGTTCTGCTTAACGGTCTGCTGCTTTCGACGCTTCTGCGATGGCTTATTGCCATGAGTGATAGCAAGGCGCGGTGCTTCCGTCACACGGCCATTGTCGCGCTCCTTTCCATTGTTGGGGCTCTCAATGGTCTGATTCGGGACCTCAAACACCGGCTCCCCTCACAGGGGCGCGGAAAAAAGCAGCAGGCGAGCGCCTTGCAAGAAAGTATTCAGGCGATGGTGGATTTGCGTAGCGATGTGATCTCTCAAGCTATTCACCAGCGTCCTCGCGACGTCGCTCCCGAAATCCGACTTTTGGTTTTTGAGCACTTGGAGAAGTGGATTCTCAACTACGATGAGGAATTCGCAGAGAACAAGTATTTCCGCTATTTCGGTATGGCTCTGTACGATAAACGACCAGAGATTCGTGCGGAGGCCCTGAAGATGATACAAAAATCTCTTGTGGCGACGCCAGAGAGTGGCAACCGCATGTTTTTGTTTTTACATTTCTTTTCCAGTCGGCTTGTGGAGATGTGTAGTGACGTCAACCTACGATGTGCTGAATTGGCCATTGGCGTCATTGTTCTCATTCTCCGTGTCTACGGTGACGAAGTCGAGGGGAAAGAACTGCTTGATAACGATATGTTTGATCGTGTGCTGCTGACACTTTTCGATGAGCGTCCGACCATACGCCATGAGGCCGGAGTCCTCCTACGGGCCTTCATAGACTCTCGTGTCCCCACAGATGCCTCCAACGGTGTTGGTTACCATAAAGCTGCAATGGAGTTATTGTGCGCCTTTGCCGCCACACTTCGCTCGCAGTACGGGGAGGCCATGCCAGAGCGCTACCTTGTTGATGCCCTCTGCAACCCTCCGCAGGAGCTGCCGTCTTTTCTGGAAAGCTACGGCTCGATGCTAGACTTTGTCGCGTCAGATGATGTCTCAGAGGTGGTGGTGGGATTGGGTCTGGTTGCCGCGTTTCTTGAAAAGCTGCGCGGCAGGTTGGACCTCGGTCCCCTTCCAAAGGAGGATCGCCGTCAAGGCGCCGCCAAGAAACTTCCAGCGAACACGCAAGAGACGATTGATTCACTGGTGATCTCCCTAAGCCGCGACGTGGGAGTCGTATTGGCTGGAGTTCTTGAGAAGCATCGCGGTGAGGTGGCCATTTTGTCCGGGGTTTCTGCAGTGATTGCGGCCATGGATTTTAAGGCGTTTAGCACCTTGGAGCAGGCGGCGCGGATAAATGCCCTCATGACGCTGATTCGCAAGGCCACTGCCTCCCTGCCACACTGTGAGGAGACACACCTTAACCAGGTGACTGCTGCCTGGCTTGGGTTTGTTGCTGAGGATCATCCAATGAAAAGTGAGGCGATGGGCCAGATACAGGAGCTTTTCAAACAGGTCTTGAAGCAGCTCTATGCGCTAGAGAAGGTGAAAGCGAGGTCTGGCGGTCAAACGGCGGAAAAGGAATTTTTGCATGTATGGGGACGAATGAGCATTCTCTCGTCGCTTGTACCCATGGTGGATCAATGGGATGTATTGAAGGCATCTCTCCTGAGGTGCATCGATGGGAATACTTCCCCGGCGCTGCTGCGATTGATCTTATCCACCTCCATGCGTTGTATCCTGTGGCAGTTGAACGCGGAGCAGGAGGCAGCGGAATCCACGGAGACCTCCACGACTGCCACCCAAATGATTGGGGAATTTGTACCCTGCATCTTCCAGGTGTGGAAAATGGACTTTCGGGGACGGGAGGAGACGTCCAGTCTGCTCCTTGTGGATAGTATGGTCAATCTCTGCGACCTTTGCGCGCTGCGGCACTACACCATGTCGCAAATAGAGCAGGACATGTTTTTGGGAAAGTTCGGCGAGTTGTCAAGTGTTTTGGGCAACGCGATGCATGAAGCGAAGGAGAAACTAAAGGAGGCGGGAGACCGGTTTCGCGACGGTGGCGCGCTGAATGAAGTTGCATTGTCTCGTCGAGAAGTATCGGCGCTTGAGGCGTCCCAGTTGCGTGTGGCGACGGGTGTTGCACGTCTGCTGCTGCTCAATCGTCTTGCGGAGGATGTGGCCCCGCGTGTCTTCCTGCAATGGGTGCATGCACCCAGCAAATGTGTTTCAGACGTGTTCCGCTACTTATTTCGCTCTCTGCGCGATCGATGCAACGACAGCTTCACTCTTGAGAAATCTATCCTTCTCGCGACGTACCACCACGCTTCGGATGCGCTCTACCAGATGGGAATGAAACTTTCCTCCATGCACTGGCCTCTTCCTGACAAGTACTACGCGGCATGTGTCAGCATGGTCCGGTTTGGAATGGAGTTTGCCACAAGCACAGATCCCGCGATGCTGCAGGCCGTTGTTGCCTATTGCCCCAAACTCCTTAAGGTGGATGCCCTGGGTTTGGCGCATGCGCTGGCGGCAAACGAATCGCTGGCGGCGAGCAGCGATCCGAATGCGCAGCTGTTCATTTCAGCCATCCGTCGGGCTGCGCGGTTGGAGGAGGCGGCGGCAAACGCCGCGACCCCCGTGCGAAGTGCCAAGCGGATGCGAGAAGAGGCGGCGTCGGAAGCTATGGAGACGGGCGGCGAGCACGCACTTCAGCCACAGAAGTCGCAGCAGGCAGCAGCAGGGGCGGAGGAAGCAGGAGGGGAGGCTGTGGTGGTATCGTCAAGTAAGGGCACGCCAAGGTCCCGATCCCGGCGCCGTACTGCAGCGAAGGCGCCAGCGGCGTCCAATCGCGTAACCACAGAAGACGGGTGGCGTGTGCGTCCTGGGGAGGAGGAGGTTGCTGCGAGTGTAGTGTCGTCCGTCTCGGAGACGAGGGAGGCGACGCGTGGTCGGCAAACACGAGGCCTCAAACAATCGCAGACAGCGGCGGAGGCCGCGGCGACCCAAGAAACGGTCCTCTCCTCCTTGGCAGCTGAATTGGATAACGATGAGGTATTTATCGCCACGCAGGAGTACGATTAGCCCCTCCGTATGCTCCGGCGGGGGCGTCGTCGGCGCGCAACGCTCAACCACCTTCTTTCCATGAAGGAAAGACACAGATGACAGTTTGTCCATAGAGAAGATAAAAGGAGCAGGATACAAATAATTGCTACGAAGAAGGAATGACCATAGAGTGGGATGAGAAAATCAGAAGAAAATAGATACCAACCATCCGTCGAAAGAATAAAAAAAAAACAGGCAGAGGGAAGGCAGGAAAACGGAGTGTGGTAGTCAAGTATAGCCTCCGCTCTAGAAGGAAAAACAAAACAAAAATAGTCTTATAAAGAGTGGGGTAAGTTGATGAAACGGTATCTTCTGGGGCGTTGCTGGCTCTGGTATCAGTGGTATAGCTAACAGGCCTGCTTTTGTTTTTCCCGCCACTTTTTTTTTTGCGTTTTCTCCCATTGATGTCATTTATTTATTTATTTCACATGCAGTGCTCTCAACTAGTGAATAGTTGAGGGTTGGGGCAAGAGTGTAGGAGGGGGGTCGGTGACATTGGTTAGTGCGTCGACCCCTACTCTTGCTTTTTTTTATTTGTCTGTGTGTGTGTGTGTTTTGCTTTTGCTTATATATATTCTCGCTCCCGCATTAGGTTGCTGCGAGGCGCCCATGACACTGACAGTTGCGGCATCGTCCCCGGCAGCTGTGAGGGATCCGCGGTGCTGGGGCGAGAGCTGGAAGGAGCTTCGAGCAACGGCAGTGAAAAACAAGGACCAGATCGGGCTGACGTTTGATCAGACGTCTCCGTTAAACTCGACGAATTTTCAGGCGCGTTTGGTTTGCTACGTACGCACTTTGCCGCGTTTAAATGATGTAAAGAGCGCCTTGAGACGATTAAATAGCTCTCGTGAACGGAGTCTTTCTTCGGTTAGGCACACAGATAGCCCCGCCTCTCCAAATCGGCGTTACGAGGGGGAGACACACGGACACCGTGTGCCGAGGCCCACTATATGGAAGGTGGAGGGCTCTGTTGAGGGCGGCATCACCGTCGTTGACGCCCTCTCGGGTGCTGAGCTGATGCGTATTTTAGAGCCAAAACGAGGTGTCATGGTGGCTTCACTGCTGCATGCGCCTTTTCGAGGCTTTATCAATAGGCAGCTGGAGGTCATTCCTATTGAGCAGCAGCAGGATATTCTCTCCGTACGGGAAACCTCACTGATTAACACAGACTATGTGTGGCTGGGGTTCGTGGATGGCTCTATACGTTTATTTCCAACTGACGCTCGACGGGTGCGGGAGCAGGATCGATCGGCGCTGCTGGCGCGTGGCGAATTAGCGGATCTGGTGTATGAGCTACCAAAACATCATAAATCGGCTGTTATTGCCATCGCACGTAGCCCTTGCCACGATGATGGTGGGACGACCGATTTAGTCACAGCAAATCGATTGAGTAGCGCCATTCGTGAGCTCACTGCGGCGACGTCGCGCGGGGGCCGAGAGGACCGGGAGCATCTCTCGCTTGTATGCACCGCCTCGGAGGATTCCTGTGTGGTGGTGTGGGACCTGAAGAAAATTTACCGTCGTTTGGAAGAGATGCGGGTAAGTTCGCAAAATACAAGGATGATGCGCTTCGGTGCCGACGCTCCGTCGTTGTCGTTGGGGGGCGATGTCGTCACGTTTGATGTCACGCCCACGACGGACTGTCCCGGCTGTACGGTGCGTTCGACGTACACGCTGGTGAAGGTGCGGCCTCTGTTTAGGCTCAAGGGCGGCGTCGGTGGGCTGCGCACCCTCAACTGGGTCACCTCCGCGGTGACGACTGCGGGCTACCAGAAGCGCCGCGACGCCGTGGCCATGACGCGGGACCCAAGGGAGGCCACGGCGCCGCAGTGCCTCAAGGATCGCCGCGCCGTGCAGCACATGACTCGCTGGGAGAAGCGCGAGGAACATCGTGTGATGCTTCGGCTGTCAGAGCGGAATATGCGGGAAGTGGAGGAGGAGCTGGAGCGGCTGATGCCGCCCCTCGCACCCGAGCCGACGCAGCGCAAACGCGTCAACCTCATCATCGCCGGTGACGTGCATGGCACCCTCCACTTCTGGGATTTGGACGAGGAGCTTGAAAAGTGCGTTAGTGATATGCCCTCCGTGTCGTCTACCTCCCGCACGGACTCCGCCTCGCGCGACTCGCGGGCTGGGCAGAGTCCGTTGCCCACATTTGACCACTCTGTGAGTCCAAGCGGGCGATACGTAAAGGAGCCCCCTGCGTCATCGGCGCGCAGCTCAACGGAAGGGAGGAGTAACGGGAGTAACTCGGTGACCCGACGCCGCGAAGTTTCTCCTCGCGTTCATACCGGCCGCGTGACTAAAGAACGAGGGCGGAGGCAGCACCCTGGCCGCGAAATGGCTGACAAGGGTCCCCCATCGTTGTCTGCCTCATCGTTTACACCAGGTGATGCAAGGAAGCTTGGAAATGCCCGTAACACAGCCGCGGGGGGGGTCTTAAAAAACCCGCATAAAAGCGTCACTCAGTATCCCTCCGTAGCTAAGCACGACCTGCCGTCGGTGAGGCGAGCAAGTATGCCTGCAGGAAGGCCTTCTTTTGCGTCATCAAAATCTTCTGCTTCGCTGAGCAAAGTAAAAGGGGATTCGACGCTAACCTCATTTGCGGTGGCAAGAAGCCGTGGTTCGGGTTCTGCAACAGGAATGGGGCAGAATGGTAAGTATCTTGTGCCGTCGCCACAGTCAAAGCTGTTTCTCTCTCAAGCTACTAGGACACCACGCAGCAGTGTGGCTCACGCCACCCCGGGCCGGCGAACACTGCAGACAGTTGAGAAGAGCACCCCTGCAGCCGCCAGGAGTTCGCGACGGAGAGGCTCGAGGGTTTTAGGGCTCGGCACGAGCGTCAAGAAGACGAAGAAGCGCGTTAGCGGCGATCAACCTATGACACCCTGTGTGAATAAGTCTTTCCAAAGTAGCTCCTTTGCGGAGGAGGCAAACAAGAGCCAGTCGAAGGTTAAACGGGCGATGCCTGAAATGGAAAGCACATGGACCGTGCCGTGGAACTCTTGTAGAGCGTCTGTCGCGTCTTCCTGCCTAACGTCGGGTCGCTGTAGTCAGAGCGGACGTCAGTCCACACACGACGCCACCCATAGCGCTCGCTCAGAGAAGGGGTTAGAGCCGAACCGGTGGATGGGTGGTCATCGATACATCACTGACATGTACAGTCGTAAAGCAAAGTGTCATATGGATTTAATAGAGGGGGGCACTGTCACAGGCATCGCTGTGGAGCTTCCTCCCGTCATTAATGTGACGATGCGCCGCCTACCAGACCCACCGGAGCCCCATTATTCTCTATTGGAGCAGCCCACCGAGGAGGAAATCCGCCGCCGTGAGTTGGCGAACAGCTTTTATCCGTTAACGAATGAGCGTGCCCTCTTTTTTGTGTTTGAACGGATGCAATTCTATGTCTCGGTCGAGCGGGCACTTATGAATATGCAGTGTGTGCCCAAAACGCGTTCAGATAACTTGGACCACCGCACTTGTACCAAACGATTACCTGAGGAACGTGTGATTGCAGAACCAACGCCGTTTAGTTTTGACATCGTCTTTCGCAGACACGTCCTAGAGCTACACCCTCAACCCATTGTGTGCCTCTTTATCGACCACGTCAGGCACCAACTGTGGGTGGCGCGGAGTCATGGGCTTCTTTCTATTTTTTCAACCGATACAAAATCTATTGTTACGCGTGTACCAGACCCTGCTGCTGAGAAGGCGCTCGGGCCCCCCAATGCCGCGGAGTGGAAACGTGTACAACGTGAAATGACGCTGCTAGGACAGCAACCGATTCACTTAGAGATGCATAAAGAGTCTCGAAAAAACCGACCTGGACACTTTACCGGTTTTCGGCCCGTTTCTCTTCTACAACAATTTGAACTTGTGCGAATATCGCTGCTGCATGAGTTGGACTCTGGCAGTGATTTTTCTTTAGGCGTCTCCGCGTCTGTGACGTCGCAGATTACATTTATTGATGGCAAAGGCGCACTCGATGCGCATGCGCGGAATCGCGAGTTCGGCCTAAGCGTCCTTTTAGAAAAACTAAAGGTGTGCCGTCAACACGCGGTGACGGTGCGACGGGCGCAGAGGGACAACTACAACGCCCTCTTCAACGCAGTCGCGGATCGAGTAGGGTCGCTGATTCGACGCTGCGCCACCTTTACTGTGCTGCACTCCGCACGTAAACTCTTTAGGGCCTGGGCACATCACCGAGACTACTACCCTCGTCACTACATTCTGCGACGGTTGCGGCAGCGGCGTCGGCTGCAGCTTTTACACCTGAAGAACGTCATGTCCTTAAATTGTGATACGCGGCTCGGGAGTGTTTATTTCGCCAAGTGGCATGCGTTTGCGCGCGAGCGTCGGGGCCATCAACAGGAACTGGGGCTCGCAAGGAGGTTGGGGGCGGAGGCGGAAACTCCGATGAGAGACAAGTTTGCCAGCTTCATCGGTGAGCACACCCGACGTCGACGATACTGGCTGCTGTGGAAGTCGGCGCTGGCTCCAAGAGGGCGCCCTTCCTCCTTCCGTCCCCTGGCCCAGAGCGCGAGCCCGTCAAACAGCATGGGTGCCACACAAGTTTTCTCGCCAACACTTTTGCAGTCCCCGCGGCAGATCTTCAATTCTCGTCCGAGAGGCGCGGAGCGTGACGGAATTTTTCGCGACATGTATGCCATTATCCGTCAGGTTCATGGCCTTCGCGGGACGCTGATTTGTTTCAGGTGGGACGAGGCGTCAGAAAGCGTCTTGGATGTGGAGGATTCATGGTTTGACGCCGTTGAGGCCGCCACAGAGGAGGCGGAGGCACCGACGGCGTACGCACTCAAGCTGGCCGTCTTCAAGTATGCGCTTGTCCCTTTCCTGGAGAGCCTCGTGTCCACCGCGGAGGAGGTGCTCCCGTACATCCATGAGACCCCCGTCAGCAAGGAGGTGCGCTCGCTGATTCAAGGCTGTTTGCTCTGTGTCGACTTCCTCTACGCCGAGGCGGAAGCTCTTGGCTCCACAGCAGAGGCGATGCGGGACGGGCGAGCCCCTTCTACCTCCCGCCTCTCGCGAGAGGAACGAGCGTCTTCCGTGGAGGAGGCAACGACGGAGCACGAGCAAGAGCTGCGGCGTCTCTTTGATGATGTCATGGGATACCGTGAGTTCCAGACTCAGCTCGAGGCTGTGGCCGCACACCGCACCGTGATTGAGGGGGTTTTGCGCCTTTTCGCCGGGCTGTAATCGGACGTTGCGGAGACGCAGAAAAGGGGGCGGGGACCGTGCAAGGGATATTCACCAATGCCTGTGCACACACCACTTGCGCCAGATGCGTGGGAGGATCTCGCAAAGGTGGGATCTCCCGGGGCTACGGGTCCAAAACAAGGAGAGGAGAAAGGAGAGAAAAAAATGTAACGTCAGGTCACGCACACGCACACGCACACACACACACACACACACAAACATAAACACTACAGGAAAACATCGACAGCAACAGCAATCAATATATATGTTTGGGTGTTCGTTTATTGTTATTACTCTGTCTCTGTGGAAGGACGCAGGATAGCAAGGAACACAGCACATATCTTCTTCTGCCTCGAATTTTTATGTTGCGTTTTTTTCTTCTACTTGCTTCATACGTGTCTTTCGTGCGGAGTATCATTGATGGACGAAAGACATGGACGTCTAGTAAGGAAAGGAAGAGGGGTGAACTTGCACCATGCAAGTTAAATGCAGAGAACATGTTTCGCGAAACATCGTTTCACATTGCCTCTATGCTCAATCTGCTCCA